GTGTTGTTTTATGAAGAAAGGTTGAGTAGGTTGGCCCTGTACCTATTATTATTCTTGATTCCAAGAGGTGGTGATCTTATTGAAATCCAAGTTTCTAAAGGGTCTTCATAGAGTAGATACTGAAATGATGTTATCCTTGCTTGAGAATCTAGAATTCAGGACAGTCAAAAAATAAAGGCATTTAAGATGGAGAAGGGGAATTTCTTCTGTCAGAAGATTGTTGGTCTTTGGAATATTCCTCCCCAGACAGCAGTGGAGTCTAGTTCATTGAATATATTCAAGGTGATGTTAGATAGATTTTTGATTGATAAGGGGGCAGGCAGAAAAATGGAGTTAAGGCCACAAACAGATTACTCAATTTCTTATTGAACAATGGAGCAGTTTTGAGGGGCCAAATGGCCTACTCATGATCCTGTTTCTTTTTATCTCATAATCCGCCAATCTTTTTCTTCCGATTGCAATGTTCAGAATTCAGACAACGTGCAAAGGTCTGTTTAAAGTTATTATTGGATATCTTAGAACATTTTTATAGACAGTCTAAGACAGATTAGGAGCTTACACACTTATGGAAGAAGAGACATCCTCACCTTTAGTCCTCCCAATACATTCCTCCATTGAGGAACCCCTAGAAAAAAGTAAAGTGAAATCATCAATGGCTAAACAGCTGACTTGTTGAAAAAGACATCCTTCCACTAGACTGCACTTAAATGAGGATTACAAAATCTTGAAACATATACAATGCGGTCACTACAAATTTCAGTAAAATATAATGGCATGTATGCAAAATCATACTGTTCCAACAAAATAGCCAGCGGATTTTGTCTTTTCAAGCTGGTGTTGCCTGGAGTAGTTTGAAGCATACACCACTTAGTGAACAGGTTTATCATTAATAGAAGTAGTCATTGTGCAGATGGACATACAGCAAAAAGAAAACAAAAAACTGTGCAAATTGTGACAGGATAAGTTTAAGCTATACTGATACCAGTATTTCGATGCATTCAATGGTACCACCCCAAATGATCAAATCGACAACTGAAACAGTTGTGCTATAACTGTGCTATAAACATTAACCTTTCAGGAGAATTCTGAACTTGCTTATTTGAAAGGCTTTTGCTTTTATATACATGACATGCAATTAAGCAATATTTCTTTCTCAATTTATGGTGATCACAGATAAACAACTTAAACAACACTTAAATGTAATAAAGCATCCAGAGACTTTTCACTGGAATGTTAATAAGCCAAATTTAGAAAGAGCCATACAAGATTACATATGTGCAGATGACTAAAATGTACGTTTTCAAATAAGCTTCTGAAGTGCACCTTAAAGACGTTAAATAAATAGTTTAGGAAAAGTATTCAAAGACTGGGCCATCACTGGCGGAAGAATTAAAATTGGGGATACTTAATAGGCCCAAAAAAAAATTTCACCTCATCTCAGTCCTAAACCCTTTATTGCAAGCCTGGGACTCTGTACTCTGAATTCCCCAGGTAGGAGTAACATTTTCTTAGCATCAAATTTGTCAAGCTCTTGAAGAATTTCATGTTTCAATTAGATCAGGCCTCATTTATTTAACTCTAGGCAATATTAATTTAGTTTACTCCCTACATCCTACAAAAACAATCCACAAATCACTAAAACCAGTATAAGAAACCTTTATTTCATTCCTTCAAGGGTAGGTGCATCTTTCCTTATGCAAGGAAGAATAAGCTGCTTACAGAGCTCCGGCACAGGGACTTCCAGCTGCCCTGATAGGATCTGAACCTGTTTCTTTCAGCCTCTTTGCATTCTCATCAATACTCACTTCCCCATCTAACTTTGTATCATATTGTTTCATCCGATAGAAACATTAACACAGTATAAATTTAATTCAGCCAGACAGCAGGGAACAGAAAATCTACATTCAAAAACTGTTCACCTTTCTATTGGCAGACAGGCAGAAGTTGCAGCGCTGCTGAAGGAGAAATTAAAGGAACGTAATTCCTCATCAATTGCAAAGTTTACAATTGTCAGAAAAAGATGGGACTTGCTGACAAGTGCCAGTGATGGTAGTGAGGGGTAATGAAGCTGCAAGAAATATCCAACTATTGCTACAAACTGATTAGCTTGACTGAGTTTTAATGTTATATAAAAAAACATGGAAAGTTCTGCCCTGCCCCCAGTAACAATCACTTTGTTGCCTGATAAGGGCAAAATTTAGCATCGTTTGAAAGACTGATTTATGAAATGGTTTTTCTTGCTCACACAGACCTCAAAATATGCCAGTAAGCCCGTCATCTAAGCTGTAGGTTCAGAGAAATGCAGGAACAGCAGAACACAAATCCAAGTGCAAATTTAAAGAGTTTGCAATGTGGAGTCTTTTGATTGTTATATTGTTTATTAAATAAATACAAAAATTAAAAAAGTTACAAAATTTCTGGTCTCTATTACTATACATGAAATAATGGAATATATTCTGATGTAGATTTGCAGTTTTTGTAATGCTTAATAAAGTACTCATCACTTCAGTGGGGAGGGTTGCATTTTTGTAGTTGTATCGATTTACATTCCTCTTCATAGAATCATAGAATCCCTACAGTGTGCAAACAAGCCCTTCAGCCCAACAAGTCCACACCGACCCTCAGAGCATCCCACCCAGACTGATCCCCCTATAACCCACCTAATCTACACATCTCTGAACACGATGGGCAATTTAGCATGGCCAATCCACCTATCCTGCCAACTTTGGACTGCAGGAGGAAACCGGAGCACCTGGGAGGAAACCCATGCAGACATGGGGAGAATGTGCAAACTCCACACAGACAGGCACCCGAGGGTGGAATCAAACCCGGGTCCCCGGTGCTATGAGGCAACAATGCTAATCACTGAGCCACCGGGCTGCTTCATAACCTTAAGTTATGAAGTCCTTCCTTCAAATAATCTGGCTTGTATAACCCGTCCAACCACAATCAATATCTCTCCCACAATTCCTTTTGGTGCTGTTCTGAGGATGTGGTCAACATCATCAAGACCACATTTGTTGGCCATCCCTACTGCCTTCTGAAGATGGAGGTGGAGGACCTTCTCAGTATGAACAAATCAAATAAGAATTGAAGTAAGCCAATCGGCCCCTCAAGCCTTCTTCGCCACCAAGATCAGGGCAGATCAGATTGTGTTTTGAATACCACATTCTCATCCACCCCTTCTCCAAACATTCAAAGTGCAACCCGTTTTATATTCGCACATAACTGAAATTTCCTGCATGGCATTTCAAATAGTTTGTGTATACCAATGTGTCAACTTGTGAGCAAGGCTACCCATTACACCCCCTAAATTCAATGATATAAAGTTGATGCAGCTGACTTTATGAAGCGTCATGCTTCAAAGAAGTATTCTTCATCACTGACTCAACATTCAATTTAGTAAGAAGCAAGTGATGCTAACAAAGAAACCAGACTACCATGTTGAATACTTACATGTCTGATCCTTTGCTTTCTTCTTTGTACGCTATAAATAAAATTGAACAGAACATATTAGCATACTGCTATAAAGGGAAAACAACAGGTTCTAAATGCACCATTTGCAGTTTACCTTCAGTAAAATCTAACATGAGTGAGAGAGCAAGAGTGAGAGATCAGCAAAGATTCAGGCAGAAATTTGGAACTGATGCGAAATGATGAAAAACTTAGAGAGATTACTTTATTGGACCTGAAGTTATGAAGTCCTTCCTTCAACTCATCTGGCTTGTATAACTCATTCAACCACAATCAATATCCCTCTGACAATTCCTTCTGGTGCTGTTCCGAGCATGTGGTCAACATCATCAAGACCACATTTGTTGGCCATCCCTACTACCTTCTGAAAATGGAGGTGGAGGACCTTCTCAGTATGAACAAATGAAATAGGAACTGAAGTAAGCCAATCGGCCCCTCAAGCCTTCTTCACCACCAGATCAGTTTGTGTTTTGAATAACTTTGGATAACTTTGGATTCCCTTGTCTATCAAGAGTCTATCTACCTTGTCCTTAGAAGTATTGAATGATCCCACGTCCTTCTGAGGCAGAGAATTCCAAAGTCGTGCAAACCACCGGGGAAGAAAATATTTCTCCTCACTTGTCCTAAAAAGCTGACCCCTGATTTCTAAAACATTATATAAATCTTATATAACCTAAATCTTACATAATTCAATCAAGTCACCCCTTAATTTTCCAAAATCCAGCAGATACAAGCTTAGCCTATCCAACCTATCCTCAGAGAAACAAGCCCCTTATTCCACGTATCAATTGAGTAAGTCTCCTGAATAATACCTAGAAAGCATTTACATGCTTCCCTAAATAAGGCAACTAAAACTGTACATAATATTCAAGATGTGGTATTACCATTGCCCTATGTAACTCAAGCATAATATCCTTACTTGCATGTTCAGTTCCTCTTGTAATAAAGGACAGCAGATTAGCTATCTTAATTACTTGCAGTATCTGCATGCTTTTTTAACAATTCATGCACTAGCACACCTAGATCCCTCTGCACCTCAGAAATTCTGCAGTCATTTTCAGTTTAAATGATACTCCATTTATTCTTCGTGTCCAAAGTGAAATCTTTTATAAAAGGAGTGGTTAAATGAAAGAAATTCCTGATACTCACATTATAAACAACAAGTAACAATTTATTTATCAAACTCTAACACTGAACAAATTGATAGAACTACTAACAAACTGAACAATTTCCCCCCTCAACTACAAACTACTCCCGAATAAAACAAAATTCTAATGGTAGGCTATTCCAATAAATAAAAATCCCACTTACATAAAACAAAAAAAAAAAATTAAACCTTAATTCTCTCGAAATTACAGCCAGGACAAGTTTTCCAAAATGTTCTTTGCCTTCTCTGCCGTTTTCCATTCAGGAACGCCTTTCTCAGTTGAATTCTTGTGTCAGGAATATTAGCTAAGAGTACCGTAGTCTATTTATTTAGTTCGTGCTAGAGCCAGTTAGTTTCTCTTCAGATGGGAGTTCACTCTCTCACCAATTTCCAAACTACCTCTTCTTTTATACCTTTGATGACCTATCAATTTCTTACAATAGGATTGGTCCTAGGTTGTCAAAACCATTAGATTTAAATTTAATTGGTTTTCACTCTAAGGGACTGGTTTAAATTAATTGGCTATTATTCAAACTGGTTGCCTTCATATCAAAACAAACTGTAGCTTTTTTTTCGACCATACAGCCTTTGATACAAATGTTTCAACCTCAAAAGCTCTCTGTGCATCTGCAGACATGTTTTTTTTAAATCTCTAAGCCCAGAAAAGCACATCATTTTTTAAAGGGATCATGCGCTCTTTCCCCCCCGACATCATTTTAAAACGAAATTCTAACATCCTGCTTTCCAATCCACAAATACTATAGCCAATTTCGCAACATCATAACGTTCTTTCTTACCTGCTTTTGTGTCATCTGCAATTTTAGCTCGCATGCTTTTGCTACCCTCAAATAAACTATTGATATCAATTGTAAAAGGTTGAGGCCCCAGTGCAAACAGAACTCTATTCATCATATCCTGCCAATCAGTAGAAGACCCATTTCTGTATATTCTTTGTTTTCAACCAGCGAATCACTATATGATGGTAGAACAAAGAACAAAAGAAAATTACAGCACAGAAACAGGCCCTTCAGCCCTCCAAGCCTGCGCTGATCCAGATCCTCTATTTAAACCTGTCGCCTATTTTCCAAGGATCTGTATCCCTCTGCTCCCTGCCCATTCATGTATCTGTCTAGATACATCTTAAATGACGCTACCGTGCCTGCCTCTACCATCTCCGCTGGCAACGCGTTCCAGGCACCCACCACCCTCTCCATAAAGAACTTTCCATGCATATCACCCTTAAACTTTTCCCCTCTCACCTTGAAATCGTGACCCCTAGTAATGGAGTCCCCCACTCTGGGAAAAAGCTCCACCCTGTCTATACCTCATGATTTTGTAGACCTCAAATCAGGTCCCCCTTCAACCTCCGTCTTTCTAATGTAAATAATCCTAATCTACTCAACCTCTTCATAGCTAGCACCCTCCGTACCAGGCAACATCCTGGTGAACCTCCTCTGCACCCTCTCCAAAGCATCCACATCCTTTTGGTAATGTGGCGACCAGAACTGTACGCAGTCTTCCAAATGTGGTCGAACCAAAGTCCTATACAACTGTAACATGACCTGCCAACTCTTGTACTTAATACCCTGTCCGATGAATGAAAGCATGCCATATGCCTTCTTGACCACTCTATCGACCTGCGTTGCCACCTTCAGGGTACAATGGACCTGAACACCCAGATCTCTCTGTGCATCAATCTGCCCTAGGGCTTTTCCATTTACCATATAGTTCACTCTTGAATTGGATCTTCCAAGATGCATCACCTCGCATTTGCCTGGATTGAACTCCATCCGCCGTTTCTCTGCCCAACTCTCCAATCTATCTATATTCTGCTGCATTCTCCCACAGTCCCCTTCACTATCTGCTACTCCACCAATCTTAGTGTCATCTGCAAACTTGCTAATCAGACCATCTATACCTTCCTCCAGATCATTTATGTATATCACAAACAACAGTGGTCCCAACACGGATCCCTGTGAAACACCACTGGTCACATTTCCCCAGTTTGAGAAACTCCCTTTCACTATAACTCTCTGTCTCCTGTTGCCCAGCCAGTTCTCTATCTATCTAGCTAGTACACCCTGGACCCCATGCGACTTCACTTTCTCCATCAGCCCACCATGGGGAACCTTATCAAACGCCTCACTGAAGTCCATGTATATGACATCCACAGCCCTTCCCTCATCTATCAACTGTCACTTCCTCAAAGAATTCTATCAAGTTGGTAAGACATGACCTTCCCTGCACAAAACCATGCTGCCTATCACTAATAAGCCCATTTTCTTCCAAATGTAAATAGATCCTATCCCTCAGTATCTTCTCCAGCTCACCGGTCTATAATTACCTGGATTATCCTTGCAACCCTTCTTAAAAAAGGGGACAACATTAGCAATTTCCCAGTTCTCCGGGACCTCACCCATGCTCAAGGATGCTGCAAAGATCTGTTAAGGCCCCAGTTATTTCATCTCTCACTTCCCTCAGTAACCTGGGATAGATCCCTTCTGGACCTGGGGACTTGTCCACCCTAATGCCTTTTAGAATACCCAACACTACACCCACCCCCCCACCACTCCTTATGCCAACTTGACCTAGAGTAATCAAACATCTATCCCTAACCTCAACATCCGTCATGTCTCTTTCCTCAGTGAATACCGACGCAAAGTACTCATTAAGAATCTCACTCATTTTCTCTGACTCCTTGCATAACTTCCTCCTTTGTCCTTGAGTGGGCCAACCCTTTCTCTAGTTACCCTCTTGCTCCTTATGTATGAATAAAAGGCTTTGGGATTTTCCTTAACCCTGTTTGCTACCGATATTTCATGACTCCTTTTAGCCCTCCTAATTCCTCGTTTCAGATTGGTCCGACTTTCCCGATATTCTTCCAAAGCTTCGTCTGTTTTCAGTCGCCTAGACCTTATGTATGCTTCCTTTTTCCTCTTTGCTAGTCTCACAATTTCACCTGTCATCCATGGTTCCCTAATCTTACCCTTTCTATCCCTCATTTTCACAGGGACATGTCTGTCCTGCACTCTAATCAACTTCTCTTTTAAAAGCCTCCCACATATCAAGTGTGGATTTACCCTCAAACAGCTGCTCCCAATCCACATTCCCCAGCTCCTGTCAAATCTTGCTATTAGTTAGCCTTCCCCCAATTTAGCACTCTTCCTTTAGGACTGATCTCGTCTTTGTCCATGAGTATTCTAAAACTTACGGAATTATGATCACTATTCCCAAAGTAATCCCCTACTGAAACTTCAACCACCTGGTTGGGCTCATTCCCCAACACCAGGTCCAGTATGGCCCCTTCCCGAGTTGGACTATTTACATACTGCTCTAGAAAACCCTCCTGGATGCTCCTTACAAATTCTGCTCCATCTAAACCCCTAACACTAAGTGAATCCCAGTCAATGTTGGGAAAATTAAAATCTCCCATCACCACCACCCTGTTGCTCCTACATCTTTCCATAACCTGTCTACATATTTGTACCTCTATCTCATGCTTGCTGTTGGGAGGCCTGTAGTACAGCCCCAACATTGTTACCGCACCCTTCCTATTTCGGAGCTCTGCCCATATTGCCCCACTGCTCGAGTCCTCCATAGTGCCCTCCTTCTGCACAGCCGTGATATCCTCTTTGACCAGTAATGCAACTCCTCCACCCCTTTTACCTCCTTCTCTATTCCACCTGAAGCATCTATATCCTGGGATATAGAGTTGCCAATCTTGCCCTTCCCTCAACCAAGTCTCAGTAATAGCAATAACGTCATACTCCCAGGTACTAATCCAAGCCCCAAGTTCATCTGCCTTACCTACTACACTTCTCGCATTAAAACAAATGCACCTCAGACTACCTGTCCCTTTGCGTTCATCATGTGCTCTCTGCCTACTCTTCCCCTTAGTCACACTGACTTCATTATCTAGTTCCTTACAGGCTTTAGTTACTACCTCCTTACTGTCCACTAACCTCATTTGGTTCCCATCCCCCTGTATGTTAATCCCTACACTACAAATTGCAAACTCTGCATAATAATGTTTTACACGATATCTTGTCAAATGCCTCCTGGAAATCCAAGTACAGAACATCTACAAGCTCTCCTTCATTCATAGTGCATGCTACTCCTTCGGAGACCTTTAGTAAATTGGTTAATCACAACTTCCTTTTCACATAATTAAGCTAACTCTTCCTGACACTTTGACTTTTTCTAAGTGCCCAGCTATCGAAACATCTTCTCTTCTCTACTTTACCCACTTTTTGATAGTTACAAAACTATTTTTTTGTAACTAAGTGACTAGGTAGTCCAATTTAGGTAGCAATCTAAAGGCCCATGGAGTGGTCTGAATATCTGACCAAATATGGAGTGATAGATTGCCTACCATGTAAGAACACCACTTTACAAAAAGCAACACTTTAATCATGTAAATCTTTTCTAATACTTTATGAAAAAAAAACTTATTGAATTCAGCTTCACAAATCAATTCGATAGGATTGAACTCAATTGCCAGTACATTAACTAAACACTATAATCAGTACAAAACAAACTATCACTAGTAAGCATTTTTAGAAATTTTAATGAAATCTAAGTTTCTTGATTTACACCAAGTAAAAGCAACAAGGATGGAAACAATAGTGGTAACACTCATCAAGTTAACAAAGGAAACAGTATATTAAGTAAATGCAATCAATAGATTTAAATAGCAAGAGTTGCATATGCAAGGGTAGCTGATACAATAGCACCAGTTTTGTGCTTCTGCTCAAAATGAATTTCTACCTGCTTTTCAGAAAAATAAGATTTAAAAAGTAATTCAAGAATTAACATAAAATGAACTTGCTTTCATATAGCATTTGCAACACTTACACTTCTTCAGAGAGGAGTTTTGAGAAGCAGCAAGTGGTTTTGGTGTACCACGTTGGAATGTGACACAGTGGCTCAATCTTTGTCTCGGAGTGTGTGTTGCTGCTGGTCTCTGACTGGGTGTTGCAGGCAAGGGAGACTTCGGTGTGGTAAACAAATTTGGTGAATCGCTCAGATTTGGCACGCTTTTTGAACTCCTAAGCAATCTGGAAAGAAAAAAAAAAATCCTCGGATTTTAGCTAAAATCTGTCAAATATTTTTTTTAAAAAAAGTGTCCAGCAGACTGAATGGGTGATGCATTTGACAACAGTTGTTCTCGATGCAACAATTTTCTTCAATTTTCCATTTCTCTCTAGAAGTTTACTTTTACTGAATTTTTCATTCACTTTTTAGTATGTTATTCAAGACACTTTCATATCCCAGAACGGACAGTGAGTACAACTAAGCTGGTCTAACCATTATTTGCATTGCAACCAAGTTCAATCCAGTCCTTATTGACAATCAAGACAATGTTTACTTCCACCGGAGCCAAAAGAAATAGAAGTCCAAAGTGATTGTCCCCTCCATGACTCAGATACATTGAAACTATCAATAAGTCTTCCATTTTTGAAAACCCTTCCCCATACACTCCTTCCACATTGTGCTCAAGACTGATTAAACAAAACTTCACTAGAGTTTAAACCTCAGGTTCAAAATCAGTGAAACCTAGCATCATACTTAAATTTTGCATCCTTGTAAGAATATTTTTACTACAAAACATTTCTGAACTTGCAATCCTTTGTGGCTTTTTAAACAATTTTGTCTCAAAATTTCACAAATAATAGCTTTTAAAAGTCTAAGTTCCCAAGTTTTAATTATATTGGAGCACAAAATACAACTTGCAAATGCAAATGCAAATGCATAAAATCAACATAATCTTGAAAAGCAAGTGGTCACCAAAGCAACATGACAAAAAGGTCCAAGTTGTCTGGATGCAGTTATTCTAAACAGAATACAAGTGAACACTTCAACAAACAATTATTGTATTATACAACAAGGTGCAGAGCTGGATGAACACAGCAGGCCAAGCAGCATCACAGGAGCAGGAAGGCTGATGTTTCGGGCCTAGACCCTATCTCTGATAGTATTAAATACATTTGTATAATACAGTGATGAGATCAGTGCTGTCATCAGGTTTATTTACCAATTCACTAAGAACATAACATAGGAACTAGGAGCAGGAGTAGGCCGTCCGGCCCTTCTAGCCTGCTCCGCCATTCAATAAGATCATGGCTGATCTTTTTGTGGACTCAGATCCACTTACCCGCGTTCTCACCGTTTCCCTTAATTCCTTTATTGTTCAAAAAAAATATCTACCTTATCTTTAAAAACATTTACTGAAGTAGCGTCAACTACTTCACTGGGCAAGGAAGTCCATAGATTAACAACCCTCTGCGTGAAGAAGTTCCTTCTCAATTCAGTCCTAAATCTGCTCCCTCTAATCTTGAGGCTATGCCCTCTTGTCCTAGCTTCACCTGCCAGTGGAAACATCCTCTCTACTTCTATCTTATCTATTCCCTTCATAAATTTTATATGTTTCTATAAGATCCCCCCTCAATCTTCTGAATTCCAATGAATATAATCCCAATCTACTCAGTCTCTCCTCATAAGCCAACCCCCTCAACTCCGGAATCCAGAAAAACTCTATTGCACCAATGCACTTGAATTTTGTGCACAACATCTGTGGCGTAACTTAAATGTTTAAGTTACCAACAGTGTAACCATTTACCATCCACAGTAAGTGTTTCAGTGCTCCCTTTAGGTAACTAAAATCCTTATTTCGATTGCAAAGTGCATTTGCACACATTCTTATGCAGTTAAAACCCATGCACTGTGCTCCCAAAAAATGAAATACTTTAGAAATTGGTCAATAAAGTATTGGAATTTATGTTCAATAATTTTTCTCTCTTATCCTTTGTTTCTCAACAGTGGCTTCTTAAGTGAAGAGCTGAGATCAATTACAAAACAATACCAGTTAAGGATTTGAGAAAGACTACAGGACATAATACTCACGTGCCTGATTCATTGGTATCCTCGGCAGCAGCTGTAAATTTAATTAAATTCGTTAATTTTTTTCAAAAAAAATGATACAATTTAAAACATAACTGGATCAAATAAAAAAAACATTTAGAACTGAATAAGTTAACTAGATACTTTCCACAGCAAAAAACTTAATTATTGGAGTTACACACACAATATTGGAAAATGGTCAGGGTTATTAGAAATCCTTAAATGAATAAACACTACAACTTCGCCATGTACTTGAGTACATGTGATAATAAAACCTAAATCTAAATGCTCACCTCATGCCAAGATTCAGTTGAATTGCCTTCTCACTACTCTGATAATGACTCTTGCATTTTCCTCAATGCGGAGTGCCCAGTTTGACACGCCATATTGGGATCGGTTTGCAGTATTCAAATTCAGTGCCTCCCCAATTCCACCCTCACAGGCTTCCAGTAAAGTAATGACACATTGGCTACAGGACTGAATTGAGAGCTCAGGAGGTCCAAAGTTCTATTCGCAAAAGCTGTCAAAAATTCACAGGCCAAGTAGTGATCTGCCACCCTAACATGGTCTGGTCTACTCACATTCAAAGCCATGTGATCGCATTCATTTGTTTTTCAAACGACACAGAAATGAATGTACTTTCAATATTAAAATGGTCTCCAAATACCCTTAGATTTTTAATTGTCTTCACCCATTACTGAAAGTTGCATGGTTTTAAAGTGTGCATCAAATCATCAGCTGGATGCACATGAAAATCAGTCTTTTTGTGTGGTCAATCAAGGTACTAGGTGCTGAGAGAGCTCCTCATGTGCCTGTAACTGCACCAGATTGTTCTACCGTCTAATATTAAAAAGTGAATGACATTTCCCTGGAGTCAGCAGCTTTTTTTTTAGTGTGTTATCAGCTGAATGATCCATTGATGCTCGTATATGTAGGTTGCTGAAGTTGTAAATCAAGGCTGTTGCTGCAGATTTACAATGTTGTTGAACCTATTAGTCATAGTCACAGTTCAATAGCCGGCAGCAATTGAGCTGCACAAAAAAGTTCCCAAACTGAGACAGACAGACACACACACACACACAATAAAAAATTAATCATTCATAGAACATAGGACTCAGTTCTCATTTCCACTGACAAATAAAGCTTCTAATTTCAAAATGCTTCTCTGAAGGTGTTAATGCTTGACTGGTTCAATAAATACTGGCAGCTCACCGGTACCTTGTCCGTGCAACTAATCTTCATATGTAAGACAAGAGAGTTTTATCAAGCCAGACGTGGTTGTTCATCAGCAAATAAGGTGTATGAACCCTGGTTGATCAATCTTTTTTTCTTTTTCCTTTCTAGCCTAAGGGTGCAGAATGAACAAGTCTCCAACAATTGCCTGAATGATGGCCAGCAGCTACCCTATTGCAACAAGCAAAAAGTCTTGGAACTTTTCACAAAGAAATTCTTGTACACAAAGAAATCTTGTACAATATTCCTTGCACTGATGTTTGTCAGCCATAATGTGAACTGCTGCTTTAAGATCAATTTTTCACTTTCATATCAAGGCAGAATGTGGAGCTCATTCCATCTTAAGCTTATTTTTAAACAACTCTCACCACTAAAATTTGCTGTTTGATGCAGCACATGCAGGTTCTGTGAGAATCAATTGCACATGCCAAAGAGAATGGTTGGCAGCCGCTTCAGAACAATGGAAGAGAAAAGAGGCAACTTAAGGAACTCCACAGAAGCCAGTAACGTGTCACCAAGTCACCCTTGTCCACAATACTTGACACTGGTCAGCTTTCTCAGAGCCAGCTCTCAGAGCGAACAGAACCTCTGACACTCTTGTTTATATCTGTCAGCCAGGGCTCCCTGATTGGGGCTGTTAACCTGGTCCAATCAGGAATTCATTCTACAATAGGTCTACCTGGCTGACCTCATCACAATCACGACACCCCTCCCCCTCTAAGTCAGGGAACATAGGGCCTGTTATTTTCCTCGTAGCCTCTCTGGGAGCGTTTTCACACCAGGTCCTGTTCCTCCGACTCAGGCTCGGATACAAGCAGCGTGTAACGGATCGTAGCCTGCCTCTTGTGCCCAGAGTTTCTCGGAAGAAATTCATCCTCCTAATCAGGCAGTAAAGGTGTGGAGGCTGCAACATCCACCATGTCCACCTCAGACTCCAAGGTTTCTTCGATGCTAAACAGAGGGGGAGAACTCCAGTTCCGACAGCCTTGCCAGATGTTCCGAAGAGTCGGGTATGTTTTGCTCCTGCCCGGTTTGCCGGTTTGCAGCTTTCACATGGTAAATGTGCTTGGGTCAGGGCCACCCCACCTACCCGAATTTTGTACGCCTCAACCACGCCTCTTACCCGTGCAGGACTATTTCCATGGTTTCAGCACCAAACTTCATTCCCTGAAGTAAATTGTCTCTCTCGCTTAGAGGGGTCTTGTGTCCGGCATCAGCATTCTTGTTGCTGTTTCACCCTCCCCACTCCCAGGTCCGGGAAGATCAGGCTTAACCTGGTACAGCATGTTCTCCCCATTAGCAACACTGCTACAGCTATCCCTGCAGTTGTATGAGGTGTGATCCGATAATCAAATAGTAAGCGGGATAGTTTGGTATCAAGTGAAGCTGTAGGCTACTTCTTTAAGTTTGCCTTCAAAGTTTGGACTGCTCTTTCTGTCAGCCCAGTGGACGATGGATGGTATGGAGCTGTCCTTATATGGCGAATGCCATTCAAATTTAGGAAATACTCGAATTCCCTGCTGGTAAATGATGGCCCGTTCTCTGTGACTAACACTTCTGGGAACCAATGTATTGCAAAAGACTCTCACGGTTTTTCTATTGTCATCCCAGTGTTTGACAAAAGAACTCTGCATGTCCAGCCACTTTGAGTGAGCATCCACAATGACTAAGAACTTTGGCCCATGAAAGGGCCAGCATAGTCAATGCATAACCGAGTCCAGGGTTTACCTGGCTATTCCCATGAACGGGGGGGGGGGGGGGGGGGGGGGGGGGGGGGGACGCTTGTGGTAATTTTTGTCCTTGTTGGCACTCTGTGCACTGCCCCACCAACATGGCTATGTCTGTATTGCAACCTGGCCATCAGAAGTAATTTCTTGCCAACATCTTCATTTTGGACACCCCAGGATGACACTGGTGGAATTTAGCCAGTATCTAGCAGTGATCTTTGCTTGGGGCAATCACTTGCTCCAATAATAAAATATCATCCTTTATGGTGACTGGTCTCACCAGGTGCAGAAAAGGTTTCAATTCTGGTTACGACGGCCCTTCTGTTTTGTCCATCACCACCAGCTGTTTTAGTTTCTCCAGGATCAGATCTTTTTGCATCCACAGTCTGATATTGTCAGCAGTGACCAGAAGGGACCCCAGAAAATTTAGCATCAGAACAGACTCTTCCAGTGGCAGTACCACCAGTGGTGTATCTGCCAGCGGGAGGCAGCTCAATAAACCCGCATTTGCTAATTGACCTTCCAGACAATCTTTCAACTTGCACTTAGAAGGAGAACCTACCAGTGAATTCCACCTGAAGCTATAGGCAGCACAGTCTTGTCCTCAGAACTTCTAGCAGGGGTTTGTCATCTATTACTATTACAAATTTACACCCATAAAGCTATGAGTGGAACTTTCTCACACCAAAGATGACTGCTTAACCTTCTTTCTCAATCTGGACATATTTGCACTCTGCATCAGTAAAAGTCCAGTAAACAAATGCTATTGGGCCACCTGTGAGCCAACACTATCCCTATACCATACGGGGAGGCATTGCAAGTCAGTACCAGATCACACTTGGGATCATAGTGTGTTAGACGATGAGAGCTGTTTCTTCACTTCTCCAAAGGTTACGTCTAGGCTAGGAGATCGTTTCCAAAGCTGACCCTTTTTCAATAGCAGATGCAAGGCTACCAGGATGGAGGCCAGGTTACATATGAACTTTCTGTAATAATTCACCAATCCAAGGAAAGACCTAAGCTCCAGTACAGACATGGGAACTGGGGTACCTTTGATTACCATCACTATCTTCCAACGGGTGTAACCCAGTCTTGTTGACTCTTTTGCTCGTGTAGGTCACTTGGGGTGCCTAGAACAAACATTCTTCCCTTCAAAGACATACACCTACCTGGGAGAAATGTCTAAGGACTTTGTCCAAGTTCTCCACGTGCTCTTTATTGGTCTTCCCTGTTATTAGCAAGTCATCCAGAGAAATGGTGACCCAAGGTAGACCTTGTAAAATGTTCTCCTTCGTCTGCTGAAAAATGGCACAGGCTGATGATACCCCAAATGGCAGTCTTGTATATTGGTACAAACCCTTATGGGTATTAACTGTAGCATACTTTTGAGAATCCCCATCCGATCACAATTGCATGTATGCATGGTTCACATCCAGCTTCGTGAAGGGCTGCCCCCCGCCCCCCACCAGTTTTATAAATCGTCTATACAAGGGAATGGGTATTTATCCAGCTGCAAAAAGCGGTTTACCGTTTGTTTATAATCGACACAAAGGTGAACTAATCCATCAGGCTTCACAATCGGTACAACCAGTGCTGCTTATTCTGCAAACTGTACACGTTTGATGATTCCTTCGCTTTCCAGCCTCCTGATTTCCACCGAAAGAACTGCAAATGCTGTAGATCAGGAGAAAAAACAGAATTTGATGGAAAAGCTCAGGTCTAGCGGTATCTGTGAAGAAAGAAAAAAAAAAAAATCAGAGTTAACGTTTCGGGTCCGGTGAGGAAAGGTCACCAGACCCAAAACGGGAACTCTGATTTTTTTTTCTTCACAGATACTGTCAGACCTGCTGAGCTTTTCCAGCAAATTCTGTTTTTGCTCCTGATTTCTACCTCTACTTTTGCAGACAAGGCAACTGGCACTGGGTGGGCATTGCAGAATCATGGAATTACTTCTTGGTCAACATGCCTTGGCTCTTTTGATAGTCCCTCGACCTTCCTGAAAAATATCCATGTATTTGGTTAAGACTTCACTCAGGCAGCCATTTCCTATTGAAAAAATGTTGAGCCAATCAAGGTGAATCTTTCCCAACCAATTTTGCCCCATCAGGTTTGGGCCCAAGCTTTTTACTACAATCAGTGGCAACTGAACCAACTGCTTCTCATACGAGACTGGAACTCAAGTTGTACCCTTAATCTGTAAATGTTCCCCGATGTAGGTTGTCAGTTTAGCCAAGGTCTTACACAAATGTAAGGGTTAGCATCCAGAGCAAATTTTATTAAAGATTGATCCTGCAATCACTGATACAGCCATGCCATTATCAACCTCCATTAGAACCAGGTGACCATTTAACTAGATGTTTATTTTGATTGGTTCTGATTTGGATGTTGCTAAGCAACTTAACTGTTCCCGACCAGACGTAGATGGGCTTTCAAGGGTTTGCACTCTCCTAGATACCGACCTAGGAGTTCCCTTACTCAATTCAGGCCTAGTGGGCCTCTTCTGCTGTCTCTAGTCCACAAACCAGCAGCAATTACAATGGCTTGCTGTGCCGGGTCCTGAAGGAAATATTAACCATTTGGTGGCTTCGTTTTGGGGTTTTGCTGTGGACTGACCGAGAGACTCTGTTCAGGAAATGTCCTGAGTGAAGCCTAGTAATTGCCTTCACTCAAAAGGTGTTCCCCAAGTTCAGTTAGCCTGGCAAGGGTGTCCACTTCCATTGGCAGGCTCTGTAGCTCATCTGCTCCACGTGCCACATTTTCTAACAACAAATCCAGTTGTGGTGCCTGTATGAACTCCTGTTGGGCTTCAGCTAGTAGGTGCTTTTGCACAGTTACATCATTAATCCCACATACTAACCAGTCTCTCTGCATCTCATTTAGGGTTAAACCGAAGTCACATGCTTCCACCAGGTGTCTCAACGTCAACAAAAATCCCACAGATGCCCCTGGTTCTCGAACTGCTGAGTAAAACTGAAATTGTCTCAGAATTAGAGGAAGCTTGAGATCGTAACATTCCTTAACTAAATCCGTTAACTCTTGGAAGGTTTTTGTATCTGGTGCCTCAAAAAACGTTAGGCTCCTAAAAACCAAAAAAGCTGCAAGTCCATAAGTTGTCAAGAAAATTACTCATTGCTTTTCCTCTGTCCCAATGTTATTTGCCTGGAAAAGAATAACACATTCTTTCCACATACTGACCCCAGTAAGATTGAGATTGAATGAGTCAAGCTTCCCAAATAGGGGCCTGATGGCAGAAATGCTTACCCCAACTCAAAGACAACTGTTAGTGAGTGAATTTTTTCAGGAGCATGTTTTTCTCCTCGTCGCCACTGAAATAACTCCACAGAGGCCGGTATCCCATCACGAAGTCACCCTTTATTTACACGTGCATAGTTCTTGACACTGATCCAGCTCCCTCAGAGTGAACAGAACCTCTGACACTCCCGTTTATATCCGTCAGTCAGGGCTCCTTGATTGGACTAGATTAACACCCCCAATCACAGAACTCATATTCTGAGGTCCACCTGGCTGACCTTGTTACAATCAAATGCTGATGGACAATGCATAGCTAGAAAGACAGGTTTAAGTGAAACAAATTAAGAAAGATGTTGTTACAGGAGTCAAAAACCATGAAATATTTACACACAAAGGGAAATTGCGTGGAGAGAGCAAGTTTGATCAGATTATGGACAAAGTTTTGAGGGACCTCTCCTGTGTCAATGATTTAGTACTTAAACATCAGAATGCTTTGGTTTGTGTTAACTAATTAATACAGAAGCAAGTGAGTGATTTTAACATGAAACAATTCTGAATATCCACAGCTTGCTAAGATTAAAATCACTTACTATCCCTTCGTGGTATAACTATAAGTACATGGGTGGGGTTCTGAGCCAGGATCCAATAATAGCCATTTTGTTTTGAGGGAATACAACTAGCAGAAGTATTTCTTACATGACCTTGGACATCTGGATTGATTAAAAGTGTATAAACATAGCCTAAGCATCTAATATATTTCTTTAAAAAAATTAATATTAAAGGACAGTTGCCTGAAAACACCCATTTAATTCATGACCTGGAGAAAATGACATATTCCAATGTCTTCCTCCTTCTTTGTTTGTTATATGATTGAAGCTAATTTGATTCAAAAGACAAAATAACTAATACGCAAATGCTCAATACTAAGGTGAAATCAGGGGTCTATAACACACAGAGATTTGTTCAGCACAGGGCAGGTGTGAACACAGAAGAGACTTGGGGACAGGGAAGGAAGTAGGGAAAGCATGTCATTACTTACATTTACGTGATCCAAAAGAATCTCTCCTTTTAAGACCTGGTGTAGTAGGCTTGACGAACAACTGCTCTGATACAATCTGCAATGATCTTTGTCGAGAGGATTGCACTGATGTATTGGAAGACGTCTTTGATTCGGTCTCAGATCTCAATTGTTTACTAGTAGTCAGCTTTGTCAATCTTTTAGAAGGCCTTTTAAAACAGTGAAGTCACAAAAGACAAGATGGTAGATTACAAGGTGCTGGTTAAACAGCAATTTTGTGTGACATCTGTTCAAGGTAAAAACAAGCAGCAGTGGTGGCTGCTTTATTTTAAAGGAGACATTATTTGCTTGGTGCGACGAAACATTGGAAAAAACCGAAAGCCAAACAGTGCAAAATCATAACTTCAACCCCCACCTTCAACCCCCCCACCCGCCAAAGAAGAAAACATTTACCCACCATTGTTGAGCATTGCAGTTACTCACATACGAGGACTGGTAGCATTTTTAATTTATACCAGTTAGTTGCCAGTCAAGGCTATGTGACTCCTTCATCGAAATTCCTCCAGGCAAGTACCATCACAACTGACAGAAGTGCCCATAAAACTACTGGAGGCATTAGAGAACAATGTTGACCATAGAAGGAAGTTGAAGCAGCATTTGGAGTTGTAAAAACCCAACCTCCTGTTTTATTCGATTAATTATTGTCACATTTACTGAGATATAGTGAAAAGTATTGTTTCACATGCTAACCAGACAAATCATACCTTATGCAAGTATATCAGAGTAACAGAACAGAATGCCAAATAGAGTGTTACAACTACAGAAAAGTTGCAGAGAAAGAGCAACTGTAATATATGAGAGGTCCATTCAGAAGTCTGATAACCAAAGGGAAAAAGCTATTGTTAAATCCGTTGGCACGTGTTTTCAAACTTTTGTATCTTTTGCCCAATGGAAGAGAGTATAACAAGGGTGGCAGGAGTCTTTGATTATGTTTATTTGATTTTATTTTTATTTATTTTGATTTGTTTATTTTAAAACATTTACCAGATCATGAGCACCCTTGAGGAGTTAAGTTTTGGATATTAATTTTTGGGTGTCTACCTTATTTGATCAGGAGATGCCAATCTTAGCAATTCAAACAATAACAGCATAAGTAAACCTTCTGTTAGCAACTATCCGCTGATTCAATATTCCAACAAAGTCCCATTGTTCATACCTTCATCATTCTCAAATTTGTTTATCTGTGCAAAGCATTTTGTCCATTTTCTTAAAAAAACATTTAGGGGATGTGGGTTTCATTGGCTAGGCAAATATTTATTGCCCATCGCTGGAGAGTATGCATGAGCCACCATATTGCACATGGGTCCATATGTGCATAAGCTGGACAGCCTTATAATAGGAGTCAGTGTGTCAAATTTCATCACACTATTCCTTCAGTAAAACATATTTTTCTGTTTTGAGCTTTATTTTCAATTTTATTCTGTACATTTTAAAATGTTAAATGGTTGCAGCTTATCAAGTTGCCTCCTATTAGAAAACGTCTTCCGCATTTGCAAAGTTTTACAAAAATAAAATGTAACTCATAAATAGCAGAAATTTAATACAGTTATAGAGTTGTACAGCATGCAAACAGACCCATTGGTCCTACTGGTCCATGCCAACCAGATTTCTTAAATTAATCTAGTCCATTTGCCAGCATTTGGCCCATATCCCTCTAAACCCTTCCTATTCATGTACTCATCCAGATACCTTTTAAATGTTGTTTTTGTACTTGCCCCCACCACTTTCTCTGGCAGATCATTCCATACACACACCACCCTCTGCATGAAAAAATTACCCCTTAGGTCCCTTTTATATCTTTCCCCTCTCACCTTAAACCTATGCTCTCTAGTTCTGGACTCCACTATCCTGGGAAAGAAAAGACCTTGCCTATTCACCCTATGCATGCCCCTCATGATTTTACAAACCTTTATAAGATCACCCCTCAACCTCCGACGTGCCAAGGAAGATAGCCCCAGTCTATTCAACTTCTCCCTATAACTCAAAACCTCCAACCCTGGCCACATCCTTGTAAACCTTTTCTGCACCCTTTCAAGTTTAACAACACTGTTCCTATAGCATGGAGATCAGAATTGTACACATTATTCCAAAATAAACAATTTCCATTCACCGTATAGAGCATGTGGGACACTAAATACGGATTGGTAGGTTACCTTCTTTGGGCAGATTTGATGACAAATTAAATCACAATATCAAACAATAGAATTTGACTGAATATGTGCAAATGGGTCTCCTACTTCCATACATTTTTCACGCCACTAGAGGTCTACATGGAACAATATAAATATTTTAACTTTCTGTGGCGATAAAATAGTGTGTACTACAAATAGCACCATGCATTAAAAGTGCATTCAGCCGAAGAAATTTCAATCACTATTTCTTAAAAAAACATTGCAACAATTAAAATATACATTTGTTTAGAAATATACATTCATACAAAACTAAAGGCTTGCTAATATGAAAAGTCACTTAAGCATGTTATCACCCTTTTGAGTGCAATAGAGCACAACAGCAAGAGTCATTTCAGCAAATTGCATTATTATAAAAAGGGAAAGAAGAAACAAATTTTACAGAAGCGATATTCTCAAAATGTATGAATTGTTCAAAACATCAGACATGCAAACTGCTTTTAATAATGCATGTGCCCAAAGAGGCAAGTTACAAAAGAGACAAGGATATTATTGCAGTAATGGACATTTCACAATATGATCCATAGGAGTCACATAATAGCAGCAAGAATGCTTTGGGTCATGTATGCACTGGAAGAAAGGGATGTCAGTGGGAGGAGAATTATTACAAATCTCTGCTGGCTAGCTTCCAGTTTCCACCCTCTGTAAAGATGAGCTCATACAAAACTCCACTCCATCCGCCTGTATCCAAACGTGCACCAAAGTCCCATTCAACCATCACCCCTGTGATCACTGACCTACATTGTTTGTTGGGGAACATCTTAATTTTAAAATTTTGATGCTGATGCCCAAATTGTTCTGCATTCATATTTCTATCTAATGTCAGCCCTTTAACTCCGTAAGTATTCTGTGCTTCTCCAACTTAGGCTTCAAGGACATGCAATTTTATTCCTCCCAATCTCTCCAGTATCAGCCACATGCAAAGAGCTACACAGACCCGAAATTCTTAGGAACATAGTCTATCCAGTAGACCATTCAGCACATTGATGCTATCCATCATTCAAAACAATCATCACTGACCAAACACTTCAATGATTTTTATGCATCCCATTGCCATTACCAGTGGCATACAGGATAATCAGAAATATATTGATCTCTACTTTAAACAGTCTCAAGGACTAAGCTTTCACCACCCGTGGTTGAGAACTCCAAAAGATTCACAACATTGCAAGGAGAAAAAAAGTGTCTCATCTCGAACCCAAGTGGCCTCCCTCTTATTGTTAAATTGTGTCCTCTGGCTTTTGACTCTCTAAGAGGAAATATCCTACCTGCACCTACCCTTTAGTTATTTCATAAGTTTTAGTGAAATTTCAAAAGTCTAGAGAATACAGGCCCAGTTTATCCAATGTTTCTTCATAGGAAAGACATACCATTCAGGGAATAAGTCTGGTAAACCTTGTATTCTCTTCCTAAATCTCTCTATTTCTCCTGGAGGCACTGCTTAAAACCTACCTCTTCAACTACGCTTTGGTAACCTCCTTAAATGTGTCAGTGTCAATTTGTGAAGTACATTGCATGTTTCTGTACAAAAATACAAACTGCACTTATTCTATGCCTCATTCATTAATGTTTTATGCAAGTAACACGGACAACAGCCAACACTTTAGCTCGATAAATCCTCATGTACAGAGTCATCTCAGCTACAACTTTATACTAATATTTTTCAAGCACGGAGAATGCAAATACATTCCTATTGTTGATGACAAATAGTTTATTAATTTAGCAATAAATTACAATCATTTCTAAAAAAATATTGCAATTAAAATGGTAAAATTTTTTACAACTCCATAATTCCATTCAATTTTTCCCTCCTTCCCCAAAAAGTGATGATTCCAAGACAGAGAACAGCACACACTTCAGAATTTAAATTATGCAGCATTTTTCACTCAAGGATTACGCATTCAACCAATTTGTGTGCCATTCAATTTATTACCATGGTCACTCATTTGTAGAATTAATCACTTTCTAAAAAAAAAACCATTAAATTATTGGAATAATTAAGCTTATTGAACAATAACCAATAGTTGATATCTAGTAGTCTTATTCAATTAACTGACAGCTATCAAATTATGTACTTCAAAAGACTGAAAAGTCAAACATAGTAGAGACTAAAAATAAAGTTGCTGGAAAAGCTCAGCAGGTCTGGCAGCATCTGTGAAGAAAAAAAATCAGAGTTAACGTTTCGGGTCCGGTGACCCTTCCTCAGAACGTTAATAGTAAGGACTAAGCTTCCTCAACTCACAGGACACTTTGGATGTTTAAATTCAAAATCCAGCCAATATTGAATTTTAAGATTGCTGCATTAGGTGCTTATACTGTCTGGAAATAAGCACTCGCTTTCAAAAAGAAATCAAAACCTATCGAGAACAATATAATTGTATCTTCCAAATTTAAATACTGTTGCTGCTGAAAACCTGATTCATAAAAAAGCTGGCAATACTTAGTAGGTAGAATCCATGGAGGGAAAAGTAACGTTGAGGTTTCAGGTCTGTGACAATTCTGATGAAGGCACAGATCTCCATCACTACGGATGCTGCCTGGCCAACTGAGTTTCTCCAGCATTCTCTATGTTCCTTTGTTTGACACGTCCAGCATCTGCTGTTTTATTCACACGAAGCTTTAATTCTGCGAGATAAACAGTTGCACGCTAGAACGTGAACAAGAGCACTGAAATCAATCAGATCATCGAATACACGGTTTAACTCACAGGACACTCTTACGACTAGAAGCCGCCATCTTTCGTTCAAAAACTGCCGCTTTCCTCTTCAACAGCGGATGTCGCGCCCCCACCGCTGGCATTGGTTCAGCTCCGGGAACATCGCTACCTCTTATTGGTAAATATTGATGTCAATCACAATAATCGCCGCCCCCCACCCGACTGAACATCTATTGGTTAATTGTCTACGTCCCGCCCCTTAGAATTGCAAAGTTGAGTGGACAGTTCAGATGTCAATCATTAACGGCGGCGCCCCTTTAGTGCGCATGTGTATGTATTGCCTCCCCGACGAAACCGTGCAATTTATTTCCAACTGTACCCCTTCGAAAAATTTATAAATGTAGTGTATTCATTTCTCATTGGGAATTCAGATGTTCTCTTGACAAACACTGGGCAGATTAAAAGATTTGTGCACTACAAATAGAAATGGGCTGGGAAGGAGGGCGGACTACGAACGATGGACAGTCAGCTCAGCCATATAGAGGTCGCTTCTGGTGTAATTATGCTAATATGGGAAGAGGAACGCCAATCAGAAAGGGGTAGGGTGGGGTTAGCCTTGAGGCCCCGCTGGGATGCTTATCCCGTGCCTGAAGGACCCCTCCCCTCACGGACCATCAGTGTTGGAATGAGTGTCTGGAGGTGGTGAATGAAGGAGTAGAGATTTCATTTTGCTTTAAAAAACTATTAAGTTTTTGTTTCAAATATATATATTAAAGAAGGAGACTTGCCGGGAAGGAAATTCCAGAATGTTCGAAGAAGCGAGTGAAGTGTTTGACAACATGTTCAAGGGCTCTTTCCCATTGACTTTCATAGTCTTCATCCCGGCGGTGTTGATCCTGGTCTCCCCGCTGCCCATAGAGGCTGCCCATGAGTTCACAGTGTACAGAATGCAGCAGTATGATTTGCAGGGACAGGCCTATGGTGAGTATTTCTTGTCATGCACCGTCAAATGGCATTTTTCACATGGCAAATTCATTGGAAGGTTGCGCAACACCATTCAGACTGGGCGTTTTTTTTGTGTGTGTGTGTCTGAAACTTCCAAGAGCTGTTCACGGCTCCCTCGGTGCGAGTGGTGTAGGGAATGGTGAGGTATGCCATGTTCTCCCCAAATTATCACGTACTGTCATACTCCAGAGGCTTAAGCACGAACATCTAGGCTAAGGCTCCCAGTGTAGAAGCATCCAGAAGTCAGAAGATTTGTGGGTTTAAGTTTTATTCTGGGGGATCATGTATGACATTCCTGATTTAATACTGAGGGAGCATTGTCAAAGATGTGTTTTGGATCAGATTTTAAACTGAACCTCTGGCTACCTGCTCAGGTGGGCATAAACGATCCTGTGTCATTATTTTGAAGAAGACTTACCCCAGGTCAACGGTTACCTCCCTAATTGACGTGACCAAACAAAAAGTCAGGTTTTCTGATTTTATATTTTTGTTTGTGAGATCTTTGAAGTGTACATGTTGGCTGCTGTTTCCTGCTTTACAACAGTGGCCACACTTCTTTACTGTGAATATCTTCAGGTTATATACAAGCACAAATCTGGATTTCACTGTGAAGTTCATAGTTCCAAAACTATCACCAAGTGGGTATTTAATTTAAAATATCAACCAATATAAAAGGAATGTGGGCAGGCTGATTGCAGAGAAAGACACAAAGGACATTCATGCTGATAAATCTACCAGTGGGAATCACTGGTGAGTGAACAATTGTGGAAACCACACTTGATTCTAAATTCTTGATTCCTAACTAACTCGATGGCACCAATGCCAATTGCACCATCCTTGCTATTTTAGTCAGGAGTTCATGTGAAGCTTACAGTTTCCATTTGTGCTGTAAAATGCATACAGCAGTTCACCTCTAGGTGTCAGCTCAGTTCAGCTGTAGCTCTTACTCCTTACGAGATTGTGGATTCAAGCTTCATTCCAGGGTTTGAACGGAAACTATTATCAATGTAAAGTCGTGCATGTTCCTGAAAAAGAGGCCCTAAAGATGATAGTCTGAAATTTTCTGCCGTTTGAATCCACATGTAAAGCACAAATCACATTCATAAGCTAAAAGGTTGTGAAGTTCTGTGCTTCCCCCAGTAACTCAAACCTCATTGATCTTTTAGAACCATCTATCAGTCTCTGTGCCCTGTTCCTTATAATTTGCTTCTGAACATTATAGAGCATTATGCAGTATGCAAGTTTTCTGAAATTGCTGTTGTCTTGAATGTTTCCGCAAATTTCAGGTCCAAAGTACAACTTGCATCTATATAGTGCCCTCAACATGGCAGATTTCCCAACGCAGTTCAGAAGATTGTTACTGGAAAAAGTTGACACTGAACATGCAGTAGATATTGGGTAGATGACCTAAAACTTGGTCAAAGTATTAAATTTTAAGGAGTGCCTTGAACTAGCCGTGGGGGACATTTTGAACTTAGGGCTTTGACAGCTGATGGCTGCTAATAAATGGTGAAAGAAATCAGGAATGCAGATCTTGGAGGTTCTAGGGCTGAAGGTTGTAGAGATAAAGGGTCACTGTTAAGGAATGAGAATTTTAAATTCAATCCACTGTGCACTGTGAGCCAATTATAAATTAGTAGAGAAGTGAATGTACTTTGCAAGTAAGGATATGGGTAGTGAATTTTCGAATAACCTGAAGTTTACAAAAGGTGGAAGATGGTGTAGACAGTATTGTAATAGTTGAGAATTGAAGTTACAAAAATATAATTGAAGGTTAATGCTTTAGCTAGACAGAATATTCTCCATTTTATGTAGTGCCTTTCACAACTGCCAACCATCTTAAAGTGCATTACAACTAATGAAGCAAGTCCAGTCACCGTGATAATGTTTGAAAATAGCATTCAGAATACTGACAGCAAGCTCCCACAAACACACTAATATAAAAACACACTAATATAAAAACAGACTAATCGTTATTATGATGTTAATTGAGGGATAAATATTGGCCAATACACCAGGGCTAACGGAACATCTCTTCCAAATAATTGATCTACTTGGCCAGCCTCATTCCCAAGATCTTGGTTTTCTAACAGTGTCTCCTTTTTCGATGGACTACAATGACACTGCTGAAAGTGTTCCTGAATGCACTCTAAGAACTTTTGCCCCTCTCTGTCCTTTATGAATATCCAGTCTCTATTTGGATAGTTAATGTTCTTCGTTACATCTGCTCTATCATCCTTGTATCTCATGTAATTTCCTTGCAACTTTGTCCCTCTACAAACTTCCCAGGCCAAATAGATCAAATGCTAGTTAAAGAACATTTAGGGGACAGTGTTCATTTATATTAGAGGATTTTGGCTCACTATGGGTCCAGAATGGACTCCTGCATGTTTAGCAGTAGTAGGTTCAGTCAAGGCATTCATAAAGAATTAAATTTATTTGAAAAGGCACAAGGTGTAGTGTCATAAGGCAAGGATGGGAGATTGGCACTAAGCAAAATACTCATTCAGAGTAACTTGGTAGACCGAATGGCCTCTTTCTGTATTGCAACAATTCTGTGATTTGTGAATATATCTGAACATAAAAATTGGTGAAAACAATTGTGAACCAAACAAAGTGCAAAACTCTAGCCATCTATTTTGTCCTTTTAAATATGGTGAACTTTAACTGCAATATATCTAGCCTATAGACTAGATTGAGCAATATAATTGCATCTTTTTGTCCCTTAGTCGTATCCAAGTAGATTGTCTATTCTGGTGCCATCTATCCATCCTGATATCCTGGGTACTTTGCTGTTCCTTTCTGATTTTATTTCCATGTTAATTTAAATCCTTCCCAATAACACTAGCAAGTTGCCTCACCAGGAGCTCAGGCCTGAGTCTGTTTAGGTGCAATATATCCAGTCTCTACAGGTCCCATTTACCCCAGAACAAGATCTGATGTCTCAAGAATCTAAAGCCTACCCTCCGCATTGTCTTTCCAGCCACATGTTGCAGAGCGGATAAGGGAGTCAGTAGGTTCTGACCCCACTACCAAAGACATTTTTCTCTCCCCAGCCTTATCTGCCTTCCAGAGGGACCACTCTCTCCGTGACTCCCTTGTCCGCTCCACACTCCCCACCATCCTCACCACTCTAGGCACTTTCCCCTGCATCTGCAGGAAATGCTACACCTGCCCCTACACCTCCCCTCTCACCCCATCCCAGGCCCCAAGAAAACCTTCCACATCAAAAAGATGTTCACCTGCACATCTGCTAATGTGGTATACTGTGTCCGCTGTTGCCGATGTGGCCTCCTCTACATCGAGGAAACCAAGCGGACACCTACGCTCGGTTTGCGACAAACGACTGCACCTCCCAGTCGCAAACCACTTCAACTCCCCTTCCCACTCCTTGGACGATATGTCCATCCTGGGCCTCCTCCAGTGCCACAACGATGCCACCCGAAGTTTGCAGGAACAGCACCTCATATTTTGCTTGGGAACCCTACAGCCCAACGGTAGTAATGTGGACTTCACAAGTTTCAAAATCTCCCCGTCCCCGACCGCATCCCAAAACCAGCCCAGTTCATCCCTGCCTCCCTAACCTGTCCATCCTTTCCTCCACCTATCCACTCCTCCCACCTCAACCCCCACCCCCACCTCCTACCTGCCAGCCTCCTCCCCGCCTCCTTGACCTGTCCGTCTTCCCTGGACTGACCAATCTCCACCCTAACTCCCCACCTACACTCGCCTTTACTGGCTCCATCCCCGCCTCCTTGATCTGTCCGTCTCCTCTCCACCTATCTGCTCCTTTATCCATCTTCCATCCGCCTCCCTCCCCTCTCTCTTTATTTCAGAATCCCCTTCCCCCTCCCCCATTTCTGAAGAAGAGTCCAGACCTGAAACGTCAGCTTTCCTGCTCTTCTGATGCTGCTTGACCTGCTGTGTTCATCCAGCTCTACACCTTGTTATCTCAGAATCTCCAGCATCCTACTATCTCTGATAAAGAACAAAGCCGCTTATGAACTGTCTCAGACAATGCCACTGGAGAGAAAATCATCACATTATTGGTACAACAACGGCATAGAGGCTGATGCATTTGCTTACTTAACAGTCACAGCAGTTCAGTAGTAATCCGTGCAATTAGACATTTTTT